GCCCGGAGAGGCATGACGGGCCGCGAGGCCCGAAATGCAAGCCCATTGAGAAAATGTCCAAAACACACTTCCAAGAAAGTTTAGAAAATACCTGCAACCCTACACGGGTTTTGACAGAACTCTACAGCGTCTCTCTGGCCCAGGCAGACCTAGAGCCGTACCGTGACCACGCCGCCATGCTCCGCCTCGCCGCGGTTTGACGCGGTGCTCCGGTGGGCCCCTCCGCGGGGCGCGGCGGCGGGGCGTGGAGGGGTATGGTGGGGCCCAGCGTCAGGGTCACTGACAGCAGGCAGCAGGGCCGCTGGCGTGCAGCTACCGCCCGCTAGACGTCTGCCCGGCCCCGCTGGGCCCCACGGCCCGGAGCTTAGCTAGCCCTGCTGAGAGTCGTGTCCGCGACTCCCACTCCCATCCCCGCCTGTCCCTTGAAGACGTCCGCAGAGGGATCTAATTGTCAGCGCTCCAACCACATAGGGAAGTTACTCGATGGTGGTCGCGGGTTGCGTCAGGGTCAACCATGAGCTCCACAGCTTCGCTGAGCTGGCCTGGCGCGGGCGCGGGATGCTGACGCATAGAGCCCCTTTCAGCTATCTGGTTGCGGCTCTGACTGGCTGACTTTCTGACTAGGTCAGTCCAGTCCTGCTGACGATGGAGCGTTATAGTTTTCCCCCTTTCCTCTCGGTCGTCTTTACGGAGCACCTTTCCTCGATGCGGGTGTACCATGGAGGTCCGACCTCTCCCCCCTCTCTCGATCACACCAGTATCGTCTTTGCGTCGATGACATCATGGCGCCGACACAGTCACGCCCTGTCTGGCCCGGGAGGAAATATCTCAAAGCGAATTAATTTAGACTTACGTGGAGATCTCAACTGAAAGTGTACCTATAATCGCAAAAGAAAGACAGTTCAACTGTAGAAAAATTACAGGTTTCTTTTCGGACTGTACTTCTGAACATTTAAAACTGCGCCTCACTCCCTACGTGTCGGGAAGAATACGTTTCCTGTGGCGGTGACGACGCCTACAGCTCGACGCCCTCAGGGGGCTTTATTTTTGGTGTTGACTGTAGCCGGGGGGGCCGTGCTGGTGAATGAGTCCGACGGCCTTGCTTGGAACGCCGGCCGGCTGCGCCGCGCTCTCGGACGCGCTCTCGGCCGCGCTCTACTGGCGTCTGAAGCCGTCTCTGGCCGCGATGGGAGCGCAAGCAGGCCGACAATGTCTCTGTGTTCATTCATTCGCTGGATCGTCCTAATCGCCAGCTGTCGCCCCCTCCGCGTCCTCTCCCCTCGTGCCCTGATCTCATTCCCAGCCCCCCGTGAGACGCAGCTTGCCACGAAAACAAATCTCTGACATCTCAAATGGCGATGGAAGCGAGAAAAATTTTCCTTTGTACGTTTTTTTGTTGGTGGGTGTCTCGCGTGCGGGCGTGCGGCTCGAGTGCGCCGTGCGCCGCGCCGGTAGGTGGGAAGTGAGGGGGTCGGTATGGGCGGTAAGTACTACAACGCACCCCTTGTTGGGCGACTCGCGGCAGGAAGCGACTCCGGTCCGCTTGCCAAGAGAAAGGCTGCGCAAAGCATCTGAATAACGTTGCGGCTCAGCGAGGAGGCGGCCCGCCTGGCGGCGCCTGGCGGGTGTGCCGAGCGAGCAGTGCGGAGCCGCCTGCAGAAGGAGCGGCTCCGTTCGCCTTTACCGCGACCCGCCGGCGCATCATTATATGGCGTGCTTAAATTCTGATAATTTTGATTATCCCCAAACGGGCCAGCTTACAATTAGTTGATTTTGCGCTTGATCATTAAACGTGTTTCCTTCCGCTCCCTCCCCCTTTCCCCTTTTAAATTCCCGGTATTTGGCGAACGTTTCGCGCCGCTGGGAAGATGGACGCGGGCGGGAGGCGGGGGCGACTCGACTCGACTATGTGTTTATCAAACAAACATGCCGCCGCTCGTAAACTCGCGGCGCACCCTAAAAGCTGCGTAGGACGAGCGCAGGAGAAGCTGTGAAATTTGAAAAGGACGGTTTCGTTTCGTTGTATGGAGTCGCGGCGATGATGCGTCTGGGCGTTTGTCAAGGGACTTCCCTCCTGGCGGCTCGTGCCTCGTACAGCGGGGGCGTGGTCGTCCCCGGGCCCAGGCCTCGGCCCCGGCTGGGGACCTGCCATGACTCATGTTTGACGCCCCATCTTTTTATTACTGCGGCTGAACCTTGAGGTATGTGGTGCAATGCGCGCCCCGCCCCGCCCCGCCATGCGTTGCGTCCCCACTCAAAAGGACGACCGCCGCATTTACGACCGATAGACGTGCAATTTCATTTATCTAGTGTATAGTTTCTGGAAAACAAACTGTCGTAGGTTTGGTCGAATTGCCCTTGATATGAATTGGGGCGTTTCCCTCCCTTCCGCACGGGCCCACCACGCCCACGGACTGCCCGAGCCTCGGCCAGGGGCCCGTGCGGCCTGAAATAAAGTTTTATACGTTTATGTATGTTGACTTTTTAAAGACCTGAATTATTGAGGGGGGCACCCAGCGAAACTCGACATGTGGATATGCGATATTGAGGCAATGTCGAAACAGCTAAAGGGACGCCGATGTCGGTTCGGATTCGCTTTGACGGCTAACTCTCACTGAGGCAGGACATTTTTTAGACGTTGAAAAGGGAGTACATCAGCCCAATTCCTACCCCGAAAAATCTCGTTCTACGCGTGACTTTCACCCTTAACCATTGTATAAATTAATTGCGTAGTATTTTTTTTCTTTCCCCCAAATAATTGATTCACGCACTGCCATGCCCTCGTATCGGCATGATCGTTATCTCTCGAGGACCGCCGTCACTCTTCCGCGTGTTCCTGGCAGTCGCGCGGCAGCCCGCCCACCTGCCGCACCATCCCGCTTCCCTTTGTCGGCGTCCTCGGCCGCATTAGTCACCGTGTACCAGCGCCAGGATGATCCCGGACGAGGAGCGCTTCACCATACTCGACGTGCACCACTGCCGCCGGCACTGCCACCACGGCGGCGGCCACCCGGAGTGCTCCGGACCGCCGCCGCCGCCCCCGCTGCAGTGGCGTGACCTGAGGGGTAGGTCCATGGCGCGCGCCAGGCAGACACGTTTGGTCGAGCCTTTTGTTCCAGCAACAAGCCTGTCGGGGCCCGGGAAGGGGGTGGGGGGCGTCGGGTTAAAACTGGCCGCGGCTGCCCCGGAGGAGAGGGGAGGGGAGGCGGAAGCGCCGCTGCCGCCACGCCCCAGGCCCGCCCCGCTCCTTGAAGGGGTGCGTGCGCGCGGGGGAGG